CCCATTTTATGCTGCTATGTGGTTGGTTAGCTCTAAATGATTTTTAGACTTCTCTCATAGAAAGTTAACTTTGGCAATAAGTGTTTTTAAGACCCCCTTCCCTCTCTCCCCGACGAGGTAGTTTTCTAGATGAAATTTTAGTATGATTTTATCAACTATTTCTTAATATATCATAACCTGAATATTCTGAAACACATATATTTCCATGTCCTTTAACTATTTGGTGTTTTTTTTTTTTTTTAACCTATTTTATAGTCATAGTCTGTGTCCTGTCAATTTTTTTTTCTTTTAAAATAAGCTGGAATCAGGATGCTTCCTGATTGGCCAGGCTTTGCCAATGTATAAGGCACATTGAGTGATGCTGCACTTAAAAAAAGTACCAGCATGTAAAACCCTCGTTTTCCCTGGGAATCAAGGCTGTACACACAGCTGCTTACAGTACAGTTCTCTTTGCTCTTCTTTCAGTCTGAAATGTGCTTGGGAGCTTTGCTGTCCTCTTTTTCACCTACAACTATGTAGAAGAAGTTGATCCCCCCCCCCCTTTTTTTTTTGTAGATTCTGGATTCCCTCATAGGAAGACAGGACTCTGTTTCTTGTCCAACAAAGGGAGTTGATGTAAAGCAAGCATCAGTTCGAACATAGGGGAGATGTATTCTGTAGTTAGTGTAGATAATGACTTTGTAAAGGACAACGTTACATAGTCTGGGTAGTTCTAACCATGGTTTGCCAGCCCACATTTTACTCTGTCCCAGGAGGGCAAGGAGTGAAATGTAAGAGGCTCTCTGGAGAGCCTCGCTCCTCAGTGCTGAGGAAGGGGCTGGGGAAGAGGCAGGCACAATGTACTAAAACAATTCTGTCGTCTCTAGAAACTGTTGGTGAGAAACACTGGATCAGATGGTGAAGGGTGTTTGCTTGAACTCACTGGTTGGTCCAAGGTCCAAATCTGTTAAACTAGCCTTCTCAAAATGCCAGCAATAGGAAGCACTGTTCTCCTTCAGTCTTTTATACAAGCTTGTAAATACATTAATGTTTACATTTCCTCGTGCTGTTGCTCAGCAGTGCCACCAGTGTCGGCTGAGCTGGTCTCCCAGAGAGTTTTATGATGTCCACCAAGTCCCCTAGCACATGAGGATGAGTGCAGACATCCTTAGTCCCAGCGGATGGACAGTGGAGAAAAGCAAGTCCTGTGGCTGAAGCACAACATAGGCAGGCGTGAAGAGACGGCGGATGCTCGCTCCTTAAGATTTTCTTTTTTCTTTTGCAAATACCTCACTTGGATAATACAAATCAGGACATGTTGATGAGTGGCTGACTGCCACTTTTATTCACACTTCTTCAGGGAGAGCACAGAAAATATGCTTCAGCACGGCCACTGTGGACCCAAGAGGACAAAAAGGGAGTTTTTTAGGAGGAGGACTCACCTGGAGCCTGTGATGTGAACTCTTGGTGGCTGGCTGACTGGCTGGCTGGCCGGCTGGCCAGCGGGCACCACACCCGCACTTGAGTGCCTCGGGCTCGCCGGTTAACAACGCACAGAAGAAACTCATGCCATCTTCCTGGAACAGGGAGCAAGCCGGATACCCAGAAGCCCCGATCCACTTGTCTATAGTTGGGCTCTATATTTGACCTTGAACAGAATGTCTGAAACACCTCAGTCTGTCCTAGTACGCTGGGGCCAATCTGCGTGGAGGTGGAAGAAAAGCCAGGAGGCGAACTTTTGTAGGAAAACAGTACCATCAAGGGTGTGATGCTGTTGTTTTAGACAAATGGAAAGAAAAGGGAAGAATTAGGATTGTTGTGGGGAAACTTGCTGAGGGATGAGTAGTTAAGAGGTGATCCCTGCAGAATCTATCGCCAGCAAATCTGAATGCATAGTTTAAACTTAATTAGGGTTAACAATTCAAATAGTTACCCCCCTGGAAACGGACTGAATTGTTATGCATGTGTCAATCAACGGGAGGTGTGCATTCTCCAGAAGTAGTGTTGGGCTGTTAGGCTTTCTTAGAGGCAGCCTGTTGAGGCACTGTGACGTAGTGTGGAAGACTGCCGTGCAGCAGCGCTGAAGAACGACAGTTCCGGGCCAGGGAGCGCGGGACACTAAGAGTGGGGGAGACCCGAATGTTGAGCCAACTGCATTCTGTTGTTGTCCAGTCCCGAGCTGTTTATAAAGGGAACCAGCTGGCTCGGTGCAGCCAGCGTTCTGGGCAGGTGAACCACATTCATTCTGTACAGTCTACATGCTGCTCCCAGAGGTGGTGATTTACAAGCAGGCATGTCCTCGATGGTCTTTGTTTTAGAATCTGGTGCCCAACCCATATCCTATAGCAGAGCTTACCCACTTGCCTCAGCTGCCTACTCCTTCCCGTGGGAAAAGGTGATCCACTGTTTTTTTAACAAGGCTCACCCTCTCCACCCTAGTGGCCCTCTGTGGATATACTGTAGGATTCTCTTGCTCATTAGCAAGGTGGCAGCTCAGCTTTCATTTTAAGAAAGCGGAGGTTAAGGGCATTGTATTAATATTGCTTCAACTCCAAGAATTTTTTTATTGTAAAATTAAAGGAAAGATCTTTCTTGGCCAACCATTTTCTCTTCCTTGCTATTGACATATTCATATTCTTCCTATGTCTACTGGCTGAAAATGTTTGTGTTTGTTCATCTGACTCATGGTATGGTTTTTGTTTCTCTACGGTTAGAGTTGTAATGTTTTAAAATGTATTTTATTAATTTGGACTGGATGTCTGTCTCTAGCAATACGAGGTACTTTCTAAGCTATTAAGGAAGGGTGTGTATCCCTGTGTGAGATAAGGTGATGGTTGTTTGTTTAAAAAAATTTTTTTTTTTTTTTTTTTGGTCTGCAGGGATATTTTGTGTTCATGTGTCCAAAAATGGGTGGGTGGGTCAGGGAGATAAATTGGCATTCTTGTGCTAAAAGTTGTTTTTCTCATCAGTTGTGTAATAAATATGGACGATATCGTAATGGCATCATACATGGCTATCAAGAGAGGTGAAACAACTGTGGTTGACTTCTGGGTTGCCCTATATTTAGGAATTGCCATTTGGGAGGTTTTGAAGGATTTTCAGTACCACTTCACACATGGAAACTTCAACACGGTTCACCACGGTTCTGGGTACTGCTCAATGGGAAGTTTGGTTAAGTGATGTCTTAAGGAGACGGGGGAGGTGTGGTGGCTCACTCCAGTAATCCCAGAAGCTGGGAGGCTGAGGCAGGACTATCATTTCAGTTCCCAGTCCATCCTGGGCTTTCGAGTGGGACCCTGTGTATTAGCTACTTCTGTCTTGATTGGATAAAACATGACCAAAAACAGCCTATGAGGGAGTTATTTTTCCCTTTGCTTATGTTTCTAGAGGGAGAGTCCACAATGGTATAGAAAGCATGGCAGCAGGCAGCCTCTCAGCAAGAAGCTGAGAAATCATATCTCCAACCATAAGCATAAACCAGAAAGTGATACAGAAATGAGGCAAGGCTGTAAACTCAAAGCCTGCTAGCGATGGACTTCCTTCAGCAAGGCTGCACAGTTGCATAGCCTCCCTAAGCAGTGCCACAACTGAGAGCCAAGCATCCAAATGCCTGAACCTGGGGGGTGGGGAGGGCATTTCTCAGTCAAACCACTACACCATGCTTGTCTCAAAGACAAAACCTACAATCCCAAGAAGACAGTGTGGCCGGATGCTTTTTGGTTTTTTGAGACAGGGTTTCTCTGTGTAGCTTTGTGCCTTTCCTGGAACTCCCTCTGTAGTCCAGGCCAGCCTTGAACTCACAGAGATCTGCCTGCCTCTGCCTCCCGAGTGCTGGGATTAAAGGCAATGCCGCCACCGCCTGGCCAGATGCTTATATTTATGACTAAGTTCTCTAGAGAAGCTCCCCAAATTCACACAAGATGGAGTTTCTAGTCTCTAGTTTGGGGACAAGGTCTCCCTGTGTAGGCCAGGCTGGTCTTGACCTCTTACTCCTACTTCAGGCTTCAGAACCAAGATTGCTGACGTGAGCTACCATGCCCAGTTCATGACTTCTGAAACTTAACAACAAAACCCTTTTGCGGAGTTATAATGATAATGCAGGGGTTTGCTCAATCTGGACTTTATTCTTGGGGAATCTAGTTCATCAGGAGGGAAAGTCCTACACACAACCAACTCCCGAGAAGGTGGATTTTGGTTCCCATCTGCAGTTTCTCCTCCTCATGTGCCATTTATTAGACACGCCTCACAAATGAGGTGTGT